TAAGGAAAAAAAACATTTCAATAATATAAAACCAAATTCCTAAATTAAAATTATGTAAATTCAGTTATTCAAACTTCAAACCAAATAAAAAAACCATGTGAATAAAACTAACAAACTGACTTACCAACATTTTGGTTAAAACCAAAATGCTTCATTGAATTTTAATTAGTGTTTAATTTCTTGGTTTCTTAATGTACATTTTTCATTTAAAGGTTAAAACCACACTAATTTTTTTAAAAAGCGTAGATTAAGAACATTATTAGTAAGAATATAGATAATTGATAATTGTGAAATTATTTTGGTCTAATTATAGCTGATATGAGATTTGATTTTTAGAATATGCAGTTTATGCAAATTAATGGATATCAAATTTATCGAAGTGACATGATGTCATGGTGAATTAGTTAGGTACAAAGATACACAAAGCATGTGTATGAAGATCAAGTGACTATGAAGTATGTGTTAACTCAATGGATAATGCTGCATCCTATTTTCTTTTGTGCGAGACTGTGAATGTTCTTACGTTTCTCTGTCTTAAGATCTTCACAGTAGTTTTTCACACAACACAACATTCGGTAAGCTTCTCATGCAACTTTTTCTGAATTTGATAAGCAAATTAACTTTGCTCTGGATATTCCACAAACTATATAGCAAACTTGGAGTCATCATCTTATCGGTTTGACAGCAATTCAATATACTCACTATGATCTCTCAGTTTTGTGTATAGACCATCCACTTGGCCTCTTTATACGCTTTCTCAAGCTAACCATTTCTTGCTAATGCATCAATGTTAACATGCTCGATTGCTGGTTCCATTGCCAGAACTTTGAATATCTTCCTTAGAATATAGTGGGCATAAGCAGGCTCCCCAACATGATTACATGCAACCAAAATGTTCCAATAGGTGGCATGTGTTTTGAGCCCCTCCTTAGGCATATTCTCAAACATTTTTATCACCAATTATAATCAGCGTTCCAAACTTCTAATCATGCAGAACTAGAAAAGTCACACTCCCAGAAGAAGCGCTTAGCCTCACTCGTGTAGCCATGAAAGCCATATATACATAGAATTTTCTCAAACACTTGGTCAGATTCTATGCCGTTCTTCACCAGACTAGCGTGGATTCTAGCTCGATTGACCGTATAACGTACATATCTAGCTTCAACAACCTTGATTTTCTTCTTTAGCAATTGTACAAAATATTTATGATTATTCCTGAAACAAAGAAATAATTATAATCTATGTTTTTTAAGAAATATTCGGATGCAAAAGTTTATGGTTATTAATATGTGTTTGGCGACTGACTTACCTAAATTTTGGTTTAAAACCGAAACAAGTCATTTAGTTTTAATTAGTGTTAAATTTCTA